ACCACCCTTCAAAGGGAGAGGGCACTGGAGAGGCAAGGTTAGGAGTAGAGTAGGTTTATGCTCGAGATTTCATCGCTGTGTCTCATAAAAAAACGAACACGATATAAACCTGGTCCCGGGTCTACATCAGTCTACAAGATAGTCAAAAGATAACCATGCCATATTTAGATGCATCGTGTAATAACCTTTTTCTATAAGTCAACCTGTCTTGCGAGAAAAGGTTTCAGTGACGTAATGCACCCCATATACAGCTCGTAGCGTAGATATTATATTGGTCTCTTGTCGTTCGACAATGAAAAACTAATGTTTCTGAATGGCAGATGATTACACGCCCGCCCAGACAGTTTTGTCGTTATGAACGACATTCAAGTTCTTAAGGTAGAAGCCTACTCATAAATTAAAAAAAAAAACAGAATTTATTCATTTTGCAATAAATTGTACTCCAAGCCAATATAAGGATATTAACCTAAAAAAGTTGGATGTCACCAGCATTTTTTTCGAGAAATTGATGGTTGTATTTTAGTGGAAAATCGCCATTTTGACACTTTTATAACACTTTCACCACAGGTTTCTATTATGCAATATCTCAAAATCTAGCCTGGTGACATAGGCTGAAAAAATCATATATTGTTAATGATGGAGTACTTTTTGTTGTTCTAAATTATTTAAAAAATCTGAGTTTTAAAAAGTGTAAAAAATGCTATTTTTCTTTAACATTGCGTTAAAATATTAGAAATATTAGGACGCGTTTCTCAAAAAGCATAACTGTAACACACAAAATAATTCTATTCCATTGTACCATGAGACATTAGCTTCATGATTGTACATAATAAACTAATGAACATTGTAAAGCGATTTATGACCAATTTTGTCAAAAATTATAACTAGGCTTCTACCTTAACACGCATCTACGTAAATTTGACGTCATGGAATTGCCTCGTCGATAGATGGTGCAACTTACATGAAAGGTACTAATGTATTTAATTTTTGGTGATTTTTTTTCAGTAATCACTCATTCCAGACCCTCATTCCGGACACTTCAAAGCTTCTTCAACTTGGCCGCTATGGTAGAGTGCACGGTACACTCATCGAACGTTGATGGCGCTTTAGGATTTGTAGGTTACGGCTGTTACTGCGGCTTAGGCGGAGGAGGAGATCCGGTGGATGCAATAGACACGTGAGTACATTCGCATATCTGGCTACAATGTTATTATAGCCCTATACAGTCAGGGTATTTCGCGACCTGAACATGAAAAAAAATGACATTATATGAAATGTTTTGTTGTCTTGAATAAATAGTTTAGGAGTTAATCACTTGGGGGGTACGAGGATTTGGGCGGAGATTTTCTTGGGACGAGGATAAACAATGATTGTGTACTGTCATACCTACATGAATGTTCTGTAAATAAACCTTAGACACAAATGGCCGCCGTTATCTCGCCGAGAGCGAGAGCGAGAGCGCCACGAGACTTGTTCAACCTCTCAAATGGCTCTCGCGCTCTGAATGATATCTCGGCGGCCATTCACGCCTAGTGGACACGTATAGCATGGACGTATTTGTAATGTTGGGTATTGCCTAGGCGTATTGCATGCTGGGTACAGCCT